AACCATAATAGTGCTTTGCACACTTTGCTCCTTCGTACAGTAAAATCCCTGAACACCATTGAATTGTTTGATGATTGCCGGCGTACAACAAGAACATCCAGAGATCTTGGATCACGCGGAAGTTGTTTCGTAAAGCCCTGGATATCCTGAGGAAAATTAATCACGTGTCCTCTATAGCCGTTTTGTCCACCACGCAGCCGGTATACTGTCATCACAGTGAAAACCTGAGAAATAAGCATTTCTTCTATTTCACTAAGTCCTTTAAGTTCGTCGGGAACGTCACCTGGATGCATATTATTACCCCCAGAAAACTTTTTCGGCGTACCCCCGGTATTTTTTTCATAATAACACCTTTTACATGTCCCTTTGACAAGCGTTAATAAAGGTATTCGCTCTTGACATACGTTGCAAAGATTATAACGTATATTCTCCATTTTTATGCGGAAATCCTGCAACATACTGATTTCTTCTTCGCTAATGGTGGTGGCTGAATTCCGTGTAGGATGAGAGTCGGAATCCGTGTTATCACTTTCCACGTAAGCTTCCTCTATTTCTCGTCCTTCATGATCTTGTCGTGTTTGTTGGTTGATGTTTCTTCCTTTTAATACATTTCGGTTTTTTAATTTACGGGTTCATTTACGCGCAGCTTATCTACGTTGGTTTTCCCAATTTTTCAGATTTTCCCGATCACTGTTAGTTTCCGTCATCTTTTTCCTTTTTCTTCCTTCCCGAATACTTTGAAGACGCTCCTCATGTTGTTGTTCTGTTTCCCTTGCTCTTTTTTGCCATTTTAATTCTCGTTCTCGTGCAAGACGTTTTGATCGCTGTTCATTTGTCTCTTGTTTTTTTTTGTTTCGTTTTCGTATAGTTTCTGGATTAGTGGAATCATTCATTTTTATATTTTTATTTTATATTTTTTTCTCAGATGAGCCTCTTGATGTTCAGGTGTCTTGGATTTTTTTTTGTCCTTATCAAAATACCTGTATTAGTAAAATTTATTCATCTTATTTAGTTTTTATCTTTTATTTTATAGTGAGAAAATAAAAATTAGTGTGTGATTTTATTGTTATTTGGGACATTGTGATTTTGTGGCTTTGACGTTCAAATTGTTCTGTTCTAATTGTTCTTTATTTATTAAAATATGATTGTTTCATACATTAATTGATTTATTTTATCACTAGCCAACACAATTATCTAATTATTTCAACTAAATTTATTATTATTTTCTACCCTATGCTGTATTCAGATAAATTATATTTTAATTAAACTTTTCTCGATACATTGATTCCCCCTTTGACTGTGACATTTCTTAGCTAATTATCCTCTCAGCGTCTAGATAATTACAAATCACGTGACGAGCTCCGGACTACGTAACGGTTTACCGTTTCCCTAGTATATATTCATTTAAATATATATACTAAAGATTTCATCTTATTAATTGATATACATTATAAAAAATATTAACCACGAAAAGTTGATGATTATGAAAGTGTTGAAGACAGCGAAAGTAATGAATACAACGAAACTGTTGAAGAAATTACATTGGTTGCAACCACAAAACAAAAAAAAAGTATTAAATTCCGCAATGGCCCTCAAACTATTAACGATAAAAAAGAGAAGAATATCAATAGAATATAAAACAAAAGATGAAAATGTATGTTAAAAAATAAATAAAATATTTTATGAAAAAGAACTTCTCGTTTTTTTGGAAAAATAACTTTTATGGATTTTTACTTCTTAGAATAAGAAAATTATAAGAGATTATATGAAATAGTTGAAATAGTGGAAGAGTTTCTAAAAATCCTTTTGTAGAGTTGAAAAAAAAATAAACATCGTTTTAGTGTAAGACCTATTTATAATTAGTACAACTAATTTTTATTAAAAATCATGTTTACAAATTCAAATAAGTACTGAAATTGTAGAAAGTATGGCATGGATGGTGTTTAAATATAATACGGAAGAAATTAATACGAAAATATATGAAAAAAGAAATATTTTTAAAACAAGAAATTTATAAATTATTTGTTAGTCAATGTAAAAATATCGAAGAATTATCATGGAATAACTCACATCCTTTGTCATTATTTCCTGGGGTTTCAAGGTGCTTTCCTACTAGACTTCATAGTTTAGTTATTATGGCAGATTTTGTAAATTCTGACGCACTTTATGAGATGGCAAAATTTTGCAAAAGTTTAAATATATTGATGATATGTGAATATTCTAAAGAAAATTACGGATTAATTTCTTTAATTAATGCACAAAGAAATAGTGCTTCCGGATGAAAACTTGAATATTTTCAGTGACGATTATGGCTGAGAAAGATTATGAATTTCAGATTTAAACAGATTATAGTTTAAACCAACATTAAAGTATTATTATCCCAAAAATTTATGCTAATTCTGGCCAAACTCATAGTGCCAGCGAAATTTAATGAAATTCAGATCCGGATGAAAAACCGGATAAAACCGCTACGGATCGAAGCACTACAAAGAAATTTAAAAGAAGTATTAATTTATAATAATAGGAAAGTTTATTGTAAAAAATTAACCAAAGCATTAGAAAAAAATGGTGTTACGATAACTAAACTTCTTTTGAGTTCAGTTAGCATTATTATACCTTCATTCATAACGTCAATAATTAATCTGAAGATTAGTTTAAATAATGTTTACGATGAAGATAAAGAAATAATTTGACAAAAATTCGCAATTTCAGAATTTCCAGATCTTCAAATTCTTGATTTAAAAGAAATATCATGTTTCAAAGAATTGGAAATATTATAAAAATTTCTATTAATCTTTCAATTAAGAAAGCTAACAATACTGGAAGTCTGGAAGCTATTGCTAAACATTGTCCAAAAATTGAAGAATTTTCAACATATTTTGAACAAAAAGATTTTATTCATGTAAAATCATTATTACTCAATTGTAGAAATTTATCTTCCATAATGTTGAATAGTTTTTGAGTTATTTGGATATTTTATCTAATTTTTCTCAAGAATCATTAGTTAAAATATCGATAAGTGGGAAATGGAAATATTCGACAAAAGCATTTGAAAGAATATTTGAAAGTTGTCGAAAACGAACTTTAAATTTTTTTGGGATCATTGATCTTAATAAAAGTAATAATATTACAGCTACCCAGAGTACTTGTTTGTCAATATATTTATAAGGAGTAATAATAGATTCAAATTGTGGAATTGGAATTTTATATGGTGAATGATTTTGTATTATGAGTTTTACTGGTTGTTAAATAAATTGGTTCTTTCCGATTTTAAATTTAATCGTTAAGTATTTCCACATGCCCTATAAAAAATTTTTATCCGAATATTTCCATTATTTCTCCGTGTCTTCCGTAAAAATTCCGTGAAAATGATACATTCACGGATATCCGTGTTAGCGAGATGAAAATTTCCATGATTTGAGGTTATTAATTCTATGAAAATGATACATTCACGGAAAAAGCATGGAAAGATAAAACACGGATCAGATTTTTTACAGGGATGTAGTGATTCAATTTTAATGAACATAGTTTAGCACGCATTTATTTAACTCTATAAATCGGATTTTTATTTTTTTCTATTACTATTAAAAAAATTTTCCTTCATCGTCATTTGATCATTAAATTTAGGCGCAGTAGCCGCAGTTACACAAAATGTACAATACGATGGTTAATGCAATAATATGAATTATCTGTTATAGTTATAAGACTTTTTATTTAATATATTTTTTTTTCTTTTATTTATTTATTTATTTATTTATTTTTTTTGGTAGCCAAAAAAATATCATTTTAAGAATTTATCATTTTGAAAAGTAACCTTTCTTGCTTTCATCTTCGACAGTAATATTTTGTCTACTAATGCTTTCTCTTATAAAAGTTACAACTTTATCCTTTATAATTTCAAAAAATTTAATATATACAGCAAATTATTATAAATAAATTACCTTGACGGTTTGGTAGTATCCATAATATTTTTCATATTTTTCTTTAGTCATATCACATAACTGCGCTTCCCAGAATTAAGTTCATCTATGAGTAGGAAAATTTCAATAGAATAAGATAGATATTATTCGAAATTTGAATAATGGAAAAATATTTTTTTTCATAGATTCGTATTTATCATATAAGAAAATTATTCTGTAAAAAATTGAGTATCTCATAAATTATCATAATTATCGCCTCAGGAAAATGTTGGACGTCACTTTTCCATTAATGATGATCATTTTCATCATATTGTATATGACTCTATTATATTTTGTACAATCTAAACGTTGCTTATTCTCTGTTAAATCTATGGAAAAAACTATCGGAAAACAATGGAATTAGATGGTTACAAAAAAAATGTGTCCGATTTCAAAACAGATTATACCCGTTTGAAGTTTAAAACGAATTTTTTGTACAAATATTTGCCGCTTTTGTTAACCGTTTTTGGATTAAATATGATCAATTACAGAAATGAGAAATGTGCATAAATAAATAAATTAAATGTGGTATATATAATTCCTTTATATGAAAACATCATTATATTGTATGTTTGTTTACTATGATGAATGTTCTAGACTTCTAGGCTAAACAGTTCATGCAATTATTGTTTGACAAAGATTGTCAATAATCCCCTTGTCAAACCCAATAGGATTAAGAAACGTATGTAACACCACTTTTATTACGTGACAAAAATAATAAATGACTATCCTAATTTGTATGTGAATTTCTTAAATTTTACTATAATAATCAGCGTTTAATTTCTTTTAACCGAAAAATTTTTTCTTTGTTGTAATTTCTACATTTGGTTAGAATATTTCTTTTTAGAAGCTTCATTCACAGCTAATAAGAAAAAAAAATTTTGTTAAAAAAATAATTTTTTTTTTTAGTAAAACAAATTACTTAATAACAAATGGAAACTGAATTTAATAAATTAAATATCTCAGATGAAGATACTGTTACAATAGACACAAAAAATTGTTCATATTGTAATATAGCTTTTACTGAAGAGTTATGGTGTAAAGAATGTATTAATTCTTTAGAAAAATTAGCAGAAAATGGTGATAAAGAAGCAATGTTTAATTTGGCCAACTGTTATAAGAATGGAGAAGGAGCAGAAAAGAATTTAGAAAAAGCCTTTTATTAGTATCAAAAAGCAGCAGAAAAAGATCATATTATTGCCATGAATAACCTAGGTGTATGTTATGAAAGTGGAAAAGGAACAGAAAAGAATTTAGAAAAAGCCTTTCATTGGTATCAAAAAGCAGCAGAAAAAGATTATATTATTGCAATGAATAGCCTAGGTGTATGTTATGAAAGTGGAGTAGGAACAGAAAAGAATTTAGAAAAAGCTTTTCATTGGTATCAAAAAGCAGCAGAAAAAGAT